ATTTGATCGGAGGAAGGATTTTGTTGGATTCGGGGGGGCAAACGAGGGTATGTTTGCAGGATAGTTTTTAGGCAGTGAAGGTCAGCAGGGGGAGAGTCAGGATTTGTATGAGAGAGGAAGGAATTGTAGAAGGGAATGGAGCCGATCTCCTGGAGATGTTGGTTGATCAGCAGCGCTTTTGCTTTCAGTGCTGGCAGCTGCAGTTTCAGTCCTCCTTGATCACGTGGTCTAGCCAGTTGTTGCATTGGCACACGCGCTGGCTGTCTTCTCCACAAAAACGTTCCCATGGTTGCTGTTATTTTGGCCGTATGGACACAGTACAGTGGCAATATGGACGACAGATACCATACCTTGGCCGTGATGAAAGTGTTGAGAAGAAACACCTTTTGATGAAGGGTTAGCGTTCGCATCGAATGCAGCCACACCTGATGAGCTATCCTGCCTACCACTATATCCCAGTTGAGGGTGATCATGAGCCGTATAGAGTTAGCAAAAATCACACCCAATATTTTTATATGGGTTTCAGTCTTTATCCAATCAATTTGAATCGACGACATCAATGGACGTCGTCTTACTCATGTTGAGGACTGCTCCAGACACTCGTCCGAAACCAAGAAAAAGATCACGCATTGTTTGAATCTTGTGTGTCGATGTGGTGATAACGCTTATATCATCCGCGTATGCAACAATCAAGTCGGTGCCGCATACTACCTCGAGTGAATCTACCAATGGATGTAGATACAATACAAACAAATGCATCGATATTGGGTCCCCTTGTCTCACCGATCGCTGGATGGGGAACGATGTCGTCAGTTGCCCGCTTATCAACAAGCGGGAGGAGGATAGAGCTGCGACATGTGAGTGCAAATCGACGAGTTGACTGTTCTCAAAGAGAAATGAGTGCCTTACTCGATCGAAGGCGTGATCCAGATCGAAGAAGACTAGTTTGCCGACCTGTTTGCGCACCTTCAAGTGAGCGATCCTATCCTTCAGTGCTAGCGTGGCTTGCAAGATATTGTTGTGTGCATTCGAACATTTTTGAGCATTGCTGAGAATGTGGTGTGCTCTCATTACATTTTCTAGGCGCGCTTTTAGTATGCGGGACAGCAGTTTGTAGTCGAAATTGAGAAGAGAGATAGGTCTGTATGATCCTACAGTGTTACCAGCTCCTTTCTTCTTCACTAAGACGATAACACCTTCAACAAATTCCGATGGAAAATTAGACGCTAGCGCCTCGTTCAGAAGGAGATTTAGCTCCCGATGGATGACGTCAAATGCTCGGAGGTAAAATTCCTTCGGCAGTCCGTCTGGCCCCGGTGACTTTTTAGAAGCGTTTGATTTTATAGCGGCCCATATATCTATCGTTGTGATCGCGTCCATGCATGCCTCGTTTATCGCATCGTTTTCTGGAATTACTTGGTCACACTGAAATTCGTCGGACTGAAATATTTCGCCACCTGGATCCGAATACATTCCAAGAAATACCGATGAACGTGGTTCTGAATGGTTTGCGAGTCGTCCATGACTTCCCCTCTATCGCCATCCAGCCGTGCTATCGTTGTCCTTTTTCTTTTCCTTTCGCCGAGCTGGAACACGGACATAGGTTCTCCTGATACGAAATGCTCGTGTATACGAACGAAGGCTTGCGTGAAGCGTCTCTGTAGAGCGAGCATTTCTCCCTTGAGGCGGTTTATAGTTGATAACATTGCCGGATTTAGGTAGTATCCGTCGTAGGCCTGTCGCAGTTGGTCGTGAAGGGATTGCTGCGCATGATGAAACTCGTCGTACGCTTGTTTCGATTTCCAACGAAAAAAACTTGCAACTTTGGGCTTACCACACGTCAGCCACCAGTCCATCCAGCTTCGGTAGTTGCGTCTTTGCCGAGTCCAAAACTGCCAACGTGTCTGCAACTCTGCCATACTTTCGTTGGTTAGGAGATGGGGACGAAGCGACCAGAACCCGCGCCCTTGTGTTGGACCAAGATGAGGTAAACACACTCGAGCTGTCAGAGCCATGTGATCGGTGAATGAGCATGCGTGCGTGTGTGCAGTTCGCAGCTGCTCACACAGTCCACTACTTACATAAATACGATCTAATCTTGATGAAGAATTTGCCGTAATATACGTGTGACCAGGGTCTCCAAGGCGAAGTTTTAGCCACGCGTCATGAAGCTGAAGCTGTTGTACGATGGCTTGGAGAGAAGGGCTCATATTACATCCAGTCGCATCGCACTGCCGTAGCACACAATTAAAGTCGCCTGCGAGAATTACGTGCTCGGTGCGGTGACGGAGGTAGTAGGCGATGGTGGTATTAAAGAATCGCTCTCTCTGGGCGCGGAATATTGTTCCAGACGGGGCATAAACACAACAAAACGTGGTATCTTGGCGAGATGGACCGTGAGCGGTCTTAGCCGTCCAAAATAAGGACAATGTTCGGACTGGGAGGGAACTTTCCCTTTCGGTAATGGACTGTATCGGCAGGGTGGTGGAGGAAGCAAGCGTCGATCGGAAATCAACTCGTAAGGGCTCTGAAAAGAGCTGGTGGGTTCGACGCTGCTCCAAACCAGGGATGTGCGCAATATAAACTTGAAAGGGACGGCTACGCTAACAACTGTTTATTCTCTCCTCTTTCTCTCTACAAATTCTGCTTCTACTGCTGCTGATGTTTGCTGGTGTTTGGTCGGAAAAGAACTCTTGTTTGCACGGTGATGCATGCCTCTTTTAAAGCGGCGAGCGTTGATGTGGTCGTCGCTGATTGGTGGATGTTGTAGCCTATTGATGGTCTCGTTCTTCGCTGCTTGTTGGTTGTGTTCGTATCAGTTGACTTTCGGCGGAGACGGAACAGACAACACAAAGAAAAAAACGTGGTATCGTGAACACGTACAGCGTCCAGGCGTCCATCTAGGCTTCTCTCGACATGTGAGAATGGTATTTGATGTTTTAATGCGATAGAGGTACCTCTCCTCGCATGGTCAACGTTGGCTATAACGTTGAAGCCAGGCAGGGTAAGCTGCTCATTTTCTACCTCTTGAAGAAATACGATGTCAAGATCCATCGTTCGGACAAATATTTGAAGAGCGTTTAGTTTGGTCGTGTTCGTGATGGTGTTTATATTCACCGTAGCAATATTGTAACTGGTGAAGAGGACGGTTTAGAGGTTGGATTCTTTGTCGTGTGGGTCATCGCCGGTATCACAGCGCATTTTTTTGCCAACCGGTCTTCGTGAACGCCTGCTGGACGTTGACGAATCGGTCTCGTTGCCGTCGCTTTTTTGAAGCGACCCCGATTTGCACGTTACTCTCGACCATGTGTTGCTGTCGTTTTCCTTTTACTGGACGTCTGCTGGCTTCACGAAGTCATCGAAATCGATTTCTACAGTCTCAATACCAGTAAGAGGCGGCATTAAACCGCTCGAGCACTGTTCAACATTTGTTGATGTTGATTCTTTTGTCTGTAACTGCTTTTGAGCTCCCAGTTTCGGTGTGACGGATAGAGTATGTGGCTTCGGGTCAATTGGACGCGGTCTGTTCGGACGTGGAGGATTTGGTCGTAGCGGATTCGGCCGTGGGAGGTTTGGACGTGGCGGAGTCGGTTTTTTTGTGACGTCAGTGTATGAAGAGCTGTGTGTAGCAAGTTTTTCGACCAGCAGCTTTTTATTCTGTACACACGAGATACCATTTTGTATGTACTCGCCGCAGTACCGGCAGGTTTGCTGCTGGCCGTTGTACGACACGATTGTTGTTTCACCGTCGATAGTAACGTACGATGCAATACCTTTTTTAATGGTCATCCGCACGATACGGACACCGGTTGGTAGACCAGAAAAAAAGTGCTTCTCGTCCGATACCTCCTCTCGGATCGCGAGTATCTCCCCGTACGCGCTGAGAAACTTTGTTATTTTCTCCTTTGAGACGTCTTCTGACAGATTAAAGAGCCTAACTACCACCGCTCCATCCTCCATCACCAATCGTAATTTGTAGGACTTCCCATCGACTGTCAGCTCGTGCATGTTGTCGTTTCCCTCGACGACTTTTTGCGCCATTTCGAGGCACGCGGCTTTAACGAAGGCAACTCCGGTGTTGCGGCTGTATTGAATCCGCAAAACCTCTTCTCGTTTCATGCCCAGCGTCTCTCCAACGAACTGGTGGACCTCCTCGGACGATGGCTTCTTCGACACGTTCGCATAGTCGATGCGAAATGTGTTTTCGCGGCGTATTATCGTGGACATTGGCAAAACGCGTCACGAAACTCACGGTGATCACTCACTCACGAATACGCACTTTTATTTTGAAAAATAATCCTAAATAGCCGGCAAATGGCTTCCGCAGACAAAGTCGATACACGCATCTGTTCTTCTCGGAAGTTGAGAGCTAACTGTAGATTCAAAACAAAATGAAATATTCCAAATGCTATACTTTTACACGTTTTTCAGATTGCGAATTTTCAATAAATCATGTGTCCGAGTCTGTCCGGCACTTTGATTTTATTTTTAATTTTGAACCCAAACAAATTTCAATACTTCATGATTTTGCATTTATTTTAATTATCTTAGGCTTAGCAATTAAGCGATAAATCAATCTTAGTCAAACAAATGTTTGACTCCTGGAACTAGATATCTCTTCGTCTGTCTTATATTTATTTGAAAGCTTATCAAAAATGCTAGCTTTTCTAAAATAGACACAATGGACACTTCAAAATAGACCAAAATCGTAGAACCTAAACTATCAGTACAAATTTTGAACTTCAACGGTTCGTTATATGGTTTAGCATAGGGCCACGACCAACGTTTCCTTTGGCTCACACTTGCTTGAGTGCAGATGGATGGGCGGTAGCCTGCCAGGATGTGAGCTGAGCAATAACAATAACAATATTATTGTGATTTCAAAGCGTTTATTATTCCAAATTCAGAGGCTTCAGCAGCGCATTCATGAGGGTTGGGAAGAATATTCCAGAAGGATTAAAATGTTGAAATCTAAAAATTGATCTTTTCCCTCTTTCCAGAAACACCTCCTCCCACCGCTACTCCTACCGGAAGCCAACCCAGCTGACCGCATCGCGCTCGTCAAGTTCCTTAACAAGCTGATCGCCAAGCTCCCCTCAGTCACCCGGGACCGGCTCCTTGCAGCGCTAAGCTTTGGCCTGTCGGCAATCGTACAACAGTTCCGCACGGTGGATTCCTCGCTAGATCTCAGCGAGATCGAAAAAGTATTAAACCTGAAACAGCTGCAATCTTCGGCGGAGGCCGCAGTAACGTCGAAGCTTCGCCATCAACATCTGAACCGCAGCGATTCGTCTTCACCGCCGTCGTCGTCTACTCCGTCACCGCGTCCGCCACCGTCGTCGGTGGAAACCCAACAGCAGCAGCAGCAGCCCAACGGAACGAAAGAGGACAGCGTGGGTTCCACGGCTGACGCTACCTCGGCGGTCACGGCAATGGTGACGGAATAGTTTAGGTAATATGGGGATTATTTAAGGTAAGAATCAAATGAACTCTCGTTAAGTGGCTTCCGGCTGAAGAAACGTTCGCGCAACACAACGGTAAGTTAGGCTAAGCAAGCAAGTACACACGCAGACATTCAACACAGAAAAAATACGGGACAAAGCAAGTAAACGTGATTTTATTTTTTCTGGCGCTCTCGAGGAGGATGACAGAGACAAACATTATTTATGTTCTTTTTTTCCGGTGAAATTTCCTAAATTCTAGTTGTTGCTACATTTTGTCGTATTCCTTTTTCTTTCGCAACCACTAAAGGTATCTTTGAAAGCTATACAATGCTTAATAAACCATTCTAAAAACGTGTACGTATCGTCTAGTCCGTGGCGTAACCATTATTGCTCTCCTCAGGACATACCGAAAGCCGTTTTGTTTTGCAGAGAAATCCCGACTCGTTACGGAGAGATACGGGTCAAGAGTGGCATACGGGAGTACACATTCATGCTTCGAAAAGTCCACTTGGAATCGTACAACTTCCGGAGAGGTAAGTTTGACAATGTAATAAAGTAAATTTTTAACCGTTTCCAATTACTTTAAAGGTTGTGCACGGCTAATGAGAACGACTCAAATTTGAGTGTAGTTAACTCATAAATTACATAAAGTGTAGAAACTCAGCGATGAGAGTAAATTTGCCTCATGTAACTTCCCGAATATGAGAAAAGTAAAGATTGGATTCTCTCAGTCTATTGGTACTACTCCTAGAATGAGGAAGTTCTCGTCAATCATCCTCATTTCTCGGCAGATTTTTGAGGTTTTTCCACAGGAAACCATGAGCCAAATTTACTCATCGCTGCGTATCTGCACTTTTGGCAATCATGAGTGAATTAAAGTCAACTTTGGGTCGTTCACATTCGCCGTGTGGAGTGAGAAATAACTTGACGGAAGATGATAAATTATGAAAGCTTCGCGGAAGAGAAAATGATCGAAATTGCCTTTGTAGATTTCTACGACGATGTTGAATTTGTTGATTCTTTTAGGGAAAGGTTCGGACGTAAACGTAAACTTTACTAGCGACGTTTTATTTTCACCGTTTTCAGAGTGGCCGATTATTTTTTTCATTACCGGTAGCTTCTCAAAACTTTTATCGGTAGTTATCGGTAAGTCGTCTTAAGAAGGCTTTCCTGATACTTGAAACCTTTGTGAGCGGGGGACGACTCTGCTCCAGAAAAACACACTGTCCTTCAGTTCTTCTGCTTTAAACATGTGGAAATCAATATTTCTAATTCTAATGCTAATTCTGACTAGGTACACGGAAAACAAAACACACAGGTATTGAATATTTTTCAAGATTACTGAAAAATCGGTTCACTACAACAGTCCCATCATCTTGGAAAATTTCTGGATCTTCGATGTACCTAGCGGCTTCGTAAGAACATCGGCCGCCATGTCTCCAGTCGGACAATATAACAACTGCAGTTTCTCCTGATCCCTCAACTCCCTTACGTAGCTCACCTTCGTTTCTATATGCTTCGACCATCGAGTTCACGAACTGGAGGCAACTCTGATTGTCTTCCAAAATACACGCAGCACTGTTCTGCTTCTCACCAAAATCTTCTCAAACTCTTTACAGCCAAACTGTCTCCTGACGTGCTTCACCGAGTGCCACATATTCCGATTCCATGGACGATAGTGTCACACAATGTTGCAGGTGACTCGCCCATGCTACAGCACCACCGGCGTAGAGGAACACGTAACCCGCAGTGGAATAGTTTCTGTTTCGTTAGCGCTCAGGACACTGCTCCAGTTATCTCCACGGCATCTTCTCCACTAGTAAAGCAAGTTCCTCATCATCCTCCTTTGGTTGTCACTGTCCACGTTCGGGATTTTGAAGACATTTCCACAAACGTGTCATACGATTTTCGGAAAGCTGATCATAGTAGTATCATAGAGGTAACTCTAAGACCAGAAGGTCCCGAAGAAACGTGCTCAACTTTTTGGCTCAGCTCTGGTACTCTCTTTGGTTCCAAGCTAATCGATGCACCCCTCGAAACATAGGAAAAACCACGCACCCCTCATTTTATCTGTCAAACTTTCATAGCAAATCAAAACAAACACAGTTTAGTACTAGAATTTCAACTAGAATGGAGTACGTTAATCGTTTGCTTGGGACCAATAGGCTAGTCAAGTAGTGAGCCAATTTAAAATCGTTAGTTACCGCCGGTTGGTAGTATCATCGACGTGCTGTACCCTGATAACGTTGAAACCGCTGCGCAAACTTTTTCGAGCCAATTTGGACCCTGATAACGTTGAAACCGCTGCGCAAACTTTTTCGAGCCAATTTGTTGAAATCGACCAAGCGCGTGGCACTAAGGAAATTCACCAAGTATCGTACGCTGTCGCTCAAACATCATTACGTTATGCTCAATCATGAGTTCAAGCGAGTTAGCCATCGATGCTATTCGCGATATCAACGTGGGATTCAGAGTAAACTCAAGTCACACCCGAAGTCCTTCTGGAATTACGTTAACGAGCAGCGCAAAGAGTCTGGCCTACCATCGTCAATGATGTTCAACGGAGAAGTTGCATCCACCTATCAGGAGATCTGTCGCTTGTTTTCAGACAAGTTTGCCAGCGTATTCTCTGATGAGATATTAACCGACGTGGTGTTACGCTAGCAGCTAGTAATGTACCACTCTCCGGTCAAGCGTTGGGTGCAATTGACATCGACGTCGAGATGCTTTCCACTGCCGCACAACAACTTAAGTCGTCCTTCAACCTAGGACCCGATGGTGTCCCATCAGTATTTCTGAAGAAGCATATCGCCAGCTTGCTGACACCGTTGCAGCATCTATTCCGCATGTCCATCTCGAGTGGTATATTTCCATCTTGTTGGAAATTTGCACATATGTTTCCTGTTCACAAACGGGACGTAGATAATTACCGTGGAATCACATCGTTGGGCTCAGTTTCAAAGTTATTCGAGTTAGTCATCATGGAGCCCCTGCTCTCTCATTGTAAGCAGTATCTAAGTAGTGATCAACACGGCTTCGTTTCCGGTCGTTCTACTACCACTAATCTACTTTGTCTGACATCGTATGTCACGGAAAGCATGACAGAACGGGCTCAAACAGACGTAATTTACATCGACTTGTCGGCTGCATTCGATAAACTGAATCATGCAATTGCGATTGCTAAGTTAGATAGACTCGGGGTAAATGGCAACCTCCTGCGATGGTTTCGCTCTTATCTCAGTGATCGCCAGCTGATGGTAACCGTTGGTGGATGTCAGTCTGCTACTTACCCAGCCACGTCAGGGATACCTCAAGGAAGACACCTAGGCCCGTTGAATTTCCTGTTGTACTTCAAAGACGTGAATCTGGTCCTCGAAGGCCCTCGTCTATCGTATGCAGATGATCTTAAAATCTATATCCGGATACGTTCTATCGATGACTTTCACTTCCTCCAATGCCAGCTCGAAGCGTTTGCTAACTGGTGAAGGTCAACCCCGCGAAGTGTCTCATTGGATTCCGCAACACGATTCGTAGGCAGCACCAGCGTACTGGTCTGCCTATCCTGTAGACCAATTGCAACCGTTTGAACAAAATCATCCAAACCAGGATGGTGGATCTCAGAAATGCGGACTTTGCAAACAAAATTCACTCTCTCCCAGATGGTGCGAAGCCATTCTGGAAAATGGCAAAGATTTTGAAAAAATAAGCCGAGGCCCATTCCTCCCCTTTTCTCTCCTAACCAAAATTCGGATGCATCTTTGCTAATAACCCCAGTTGAAAAGGCCAATGCTCTTGGGCAACACTTTGTGAATTCACATAACCTTGACCACGTCATGGTGAGTCCCCACGAGCCTGCAGTATCAGAGGCAATGTCTAGAGTCGCTGCCACCCCCGTAGTTTTACCTGACGAAAGTAGAATATCGGCTGATGAGGTAATAGCAGCGATTAAATCAACCAAGAACATGAAGACCGCTGGTGTCGATGGAGTGGCCAACCTCGAGTTGAAAAACTTGAGTGTTGACTTCTTCAAGCACCTTGCAGTGGTCTTCAATACGTGTTTGATGCTTGGCTACTTCCCTGCATGCTGGAAGATAGCCAAAGTCATTCCAATTCACAAGCCTGGCAAAGACCCTACCAGTGCCAAAAGCTATCGCCCCATCAGCCTCTTGTCCTCCATCTCGAAGCTATTCGAAAAACTTACTCAGCCGTCTGCTGGTGTTTTCAAATGATAATAACATCTTTCTCAAAGAGCAATTCTGGTTTAGGAAAGGCCACTCTACCATCCACCAACAACTCCATCAGGCCGGGATGTTCTGTTCGACTATTTCAAATGCTGGAAGATTTGTATCAATGCAGCTAAAACACAGACCATACTATTTCCGCACACCAACTCACCTCGGCTTGTTCCGCCTGGTAGCTCAAAAGTCCACCTTTATAACACTCACATTGAATGGTCGAGTGAAGTCGTCTACCTTGGTCTCACTCTTGTTGCTATTCCGGTCCCATGTGGACAAAACATCCACCAAGTGCAACATCTTGAGTAGGTCGCTCTACCCACTTATCAACAGAAAGTCCACCCTTTCTCTTAAAAATAAGCTTGACGTCCACAAGCAAATCATCCTCCCCACCATTGAGTACGGAACGCCAATCTGGGAGAGTTGTGCTATGTGCCATCACCTCAAACTCCAAAGGACCCAGAACAAGATCCTTAGGATGATCCTAAACAGTCCTCCACGGACCCGAAATTCTGAGGTCCACTGCCTGGCTGGCCTTCAGCCTCTCGAAGAGCGACGAACGGTCTCCTTGGAAAGGTTCAGAGACACCTGTCTGAGATCAGATCTTCAGATCATACGTGATCTGGCACGTTGGTTATGTTAGACTCGTAGTTAGGTAGGTTATCAAATTTTTCAATCAAAATAAAACACACCCCCCAAGGGGTGTTCTGTTAACTAGATGAAATACGAAAATACTAAATCCGGAGAGAGCGGACGACCAGCAGAAGGGATAGCGGCACTAGCGGACAAACAGAGGGAGCAGCAGATTCGTGGAATCGTGACCGAGGCTGGAAACCTCGGTCCAGTCACGACAATGCCCAATCAGCGTCCGAATAGCCGATGAGATCTGTATCGCTTGGTACACTTGTGGTACCGAAGCACTCTCTTCGCGGCTGTCCAATCAGCTTCAGTAGGCGAACGCACTTTTCGCCCCAAGATCGACGCACTCACTGCAACGTCCGTGTGGCGTACACTGTCACATACAAGAGTGCATCCACAAGACTGCGGTAAACCGTATTATTCGCCGACTTAGCATTTTGCAATCCAAACCGTGTTGCTGTATTATCAAAGTATTTTTCAAGTATCCTTTAAGT